GATCATCTTTGGGCAGAGGTCAGTAGTACGAGGCCGTGAATTAAACTTTTTCTTTGTATTTTCCTGAGTTTTTTCTTTGGAAAGTGAAAGCATCTGTCACAAGAAAAATGATCAAATATACATGTTCAAAGTGGCTCATTTACCCATCGAAACCTGAACATCCAACTAGGGATAATCAACACGTGAAGCCTGACTTGTCGGCTAGTTTAATTGTAATGAAGCCAGCATGTCCCAGCTGCCACGGCCTCTGCCTTCAGCCACTGTCTCCCTCATACTGAACACACTCAGGACAGTGGCCCCAGAAGACAGTATTCAGAGCTTCTCACCTGCTTTTCAATTTCTCTGGGCTCTATTTCTGACCTGGGTCCTGGACACTGCATTTGTTTGTCTTGCTTTTAAAGCTCCTCTAAGTGACTGTAAGAAACAGTCACAGTTAGAAAACCATGGTTGTGTTCCACTCCTCTCATTTTGCAGCTGGGACACTGGAGAATTAGAGAAATTCAAACGCTACAGAGAGACAGAGCCAATCCAATCTCCTAGTTCCTAAATTAACAAGCCACAAAATTCAAAGGTAGGGTTTTATAGGTGAATAGACTTGGCCTTAAATACTTCCAGAGGGAAATCACTGGCTTTTGACTGCCCCAACCCAACTTTAGAGGTATCTAAGCAGTTTTCAAAAAATATTTAGTGAGCATAGTGATACTTTAAAAAAAAATAATCACCAGCTTTTTTGTTTTTTTTTTGTTGTTGTTGTTGTTGTTTATGAGACAGTTCTGGCCTTGTGCTTATTAAGCAGCCTAGGTGGGTCTTAAATTCATGGTGATCATCCTGTTTGAGCCTCCACAGTACTTGGATTACAGGCAAGTGCCACCATGTCGGGCTATCTCATCTGTTTTAATGGTGGGGAAAGGCAAGCACAGTCTAGCTAAATAAAACAGTTGACACAGGAGATTAGGATGTGGCAAAACTGGCTGGAGAAGTGGGCGGGGCTTTTAGTTGCAAGATCTCGGAATACATGTGCAGAAAAGTTTCACAGCCCTGCAGGCAGACTTCTCCTAAGAACTCTAGCAGATTTCCAATTGGATGGCCTAGACCTGATGTCAGCCCAAGGCAAGGGCTCCCAGCACTGTGTCTGAGGACCCCTATGTAGAGGTTCTCAAGTTTCCTGGAGATCTGGACAGCATACAAGGATGTGGACACAATAACCATCCTGCTCTCCTGACTTTCTCAGGGGAGCCTGATCTGCTTCCTCCAGAATGTCCTGTTACATCGCTTTTCTTCCTTTTACTCAGCCCAAGCCTGTTCTGAAGAGCCAGTTTCTCCCTCATCTTTACTTTTACTTTCTCTAATAAACTTGGTCACTGATTTTTGCTTATTTTATTCAATTCTTTGCTTGAGACAAGGAGAACTCAGAATCCAACTCCAGAGGGAGAGGCTCGAAACCCAGAACCCAGTAACAGGTGGTGGGTGGCAGGAGCTTACCTGACAACACAATGGCACCAAGTAAGTAAAGATGTGAAAAGTCAAAATACTGTTGTATCTAAGATGGACTGAACCGCAGAAAAACATAATTTTACCTCCCTTATTTGGTCCTAGGATACCTGCCTGTTGCTCAAAATACTTTTTCCTAAGGTGATTACCAAGAACACTCTCCAGAAGTTAATACTGCAAACTGGTCACCTTGGCAAACTGCAAGTGATACCTTCTCCTCGCCTTCCACCTGATCTCCACTCTCCCAGGCCAGGACCGACAGCTCACACGCCCTGGGCAAGTCAGACACAAAGAAGCACTACACTTGTCCATCTGGAGGCTGCAGTGGAAAGGAATTTAAACTTGGCAGTCAAGAGATCTGGCTCTTGCCCACTGTGCTTATATCCGGGCAGCCCCCAGGAGTCACTCAATCGTTCAGGACTCAGACCCACTGGGCAGTTCTCTAAGGCTCAGGCCCATTTATTCCATGTTTGGCAGAGCCAAACCCAGCCTGGCTTGTAAGAGATGTAGTTAATCTTTAAGCTGATATCTTGTAGTGTTACAGAAATTTATAGAGGAAGTCCTTTATCATTTCTGTGCTTGTTCAGTGTTCAGGGTTAAAATACATAGAAAACACTGCAGATGAATTAGATTCATTAAGATCTAAAATTTCTCAAATGAAGAACTGACTTCTCTGTTTGAAGAATTTTAAAGTCAGTGTCCTACTGCTGCCTTATATCTGGGCTATGTGGAAAAATCATTTTGGATTTTTACTAGATTTTCACTATGCACTGTTTAATTTTTTTTTTTTTTTTTGTACCAGGGATCAAACTCAGGACCTTGCTCTTGCCAGACAGGAGCTTGTGCCACTGAGCTAAATGCCCGGCCCATGTTTAATCTTTTTTAAATCTTGATTTTCTATTGCAATCCATACTCTGGTATTCACAAAATTCATTAAGTACCTACTATTATAGACAGCTAAGCTAGATAAAAATTAACAGAAAGCCAGAAAGGGACTGAGTTCTCAAGGAAATCAGTGAAACGTGGAGATATCAGAATTGCGGTTGGACTTGCATCTGAAGTCAAGTTCTAGAAAATAAAGTCACAATGGCCCTAAGACATGAACAGAAATTTGAAATTATACTGTAATTGGAACCAACCAGTCCATTAAGTCCAGATATACATCAGACACTTGGGGGGGGGGGTCAGAACACCTGGGCCTATCCCTTCTCGAAAATATGTTGGCAGTCATAGATAAGCGAAGATCAATGATGTCATCCATGCACTGTGGCACTGTGTCCCATTGCTCTACTGAATCAGTGTTAACTAAGTGGCTGCACTTGTAATCTTCAAGGTTGACTATAGTTTGACTCAAGTTGTACCCACATTTGTGACTAACAGAGGACCTTGGTGATGACCCACCTCCAGGCCCCCTCCAGTCTCTAGGAGCTGTTCCTATTCCCCAGTAAACATTTTCTCCTCTTATCATTTGTTCACATCATCATTTGTTCTCTGGAATTTATTCCCCGGTTTCAGGAGACACAAACTCGGTACCTATGATATATACTGTGTGTCAAGCCTTGGGAGAGAAAATAGCAGACAAATTCCCATGTTCTTAGAGCTTATATCTACAAGAAGAGACTGGGATAATCACCTAGTCACCCAAAAGCATGCTTACACAGCGCAACCAATGTTGCAAGAACAATCAAAAGAAACAAAGGAGTAGCCCTACATCACCCATGCCTGTAATCCCAGCACTCAGGGAAGCTGAGGCAGGAGGATCACAGGTTTCATTTTAGTCTGGTAATTTAGCAACTAAATTTAATCAAATTTAGAGGTGGGGGATGTAGCTCAGTGGAAAAGCCCTGGTTTAATCCCTGCACTGCAAAATGAAGAGGGAGGAGGAGGGGACAGGGAGGACCACCTGGGAAGGTTAGGGTTAAGTTTAGGGTTAGGGCTCTGAGAAGGCTGTTCTCTAAGAACTGATCTCTGAAAGTTGACAGTTGGCCTCAGGCTGTTTAGAGATAGGCAGACAGCTTAGGCAAGCCACAGCTTTGGCAAATGCCCAAGGCAGAGGGAGAAGCTTGGCTATTGAGGAAGAGTTTCCTGCATCCTTTCCTTACTGTCCTAGAAGTTAAGGGGGAGAGCTATGAAATTATTTTCTCTTGGGAACTTCCCTTGTACTGTATCTGTAAACTATTAACTTTCTCAAGCCATTTGAAACCAGTCCACTATTAAAACCATTCGTGCTCTCAAGTTAATATTTTCCCAGTTATCACCAGTATTTTCTTATCTTGAATTTTCAGCTCTCTCTTTCGTCTTGGTAACCTAGATGAGTGCAGATCTGTGTTCGATGGCAAGAGAAAAGCCCGCCCCCGGGCTCAACACCTGCAGGTTTGTGTTTATCCATGGATACCAGTGGTGTGTGCACCTAGAAAACAGTGGGCAGCTTTTGGGCACGGAAGTGGTTCTTGTCCCCGGCAATGCCCATTTTCTAAGACAGAGCAAGAGGAAAGGGCGGAGACCCAAATCTTCTAAAAGCTGCAACATGTCCCGTGGGACAGAGGAGAAACAGCGATTGAGAAAAACATTATAGAGGAGGATCTTTCTGGAGTGCAGCCTCCTAAGTGAACTCTGTGACTCGGAGCTCGTAATATGCGGTTCTGCACCGGAACTTTCTGCAATTCCCCGCTTAGGAAACCCAGAACTCTTTTTCCATACAGAAATGCTGCCTTCCTGTCGCCAGAGGCTTCTAGGAAGAACGGAACGTGACGGTTTTGAGGTGTTAATGTTTTGCCTCTGTCCTCTTGGGCCACACTTTTTACTTTGCCCAGGGAAAGGGCAGCTCCTGCGGTGCCCAGCGCGGACACGCACGGCCTCCAGTAGGCCGGCTGGTCCCTGCCGCAGGGGGTCCTGTGCATTGCGACTATCACAAGCCAGTGTCCCCAGAGCCGCAGTGGGTTGTGTAATCACGCTGTGCACGCCCAGAGGGACGCGCTGTGTGTGTCTGCGGAAAGCCACGGGTACCACTTTCCAGGGGAGGCGCTGGCAGGTCTCCATCCCCGGGGCTGCCGAGGAGGTTGTAAATCTAAGCTGCGTCCTTGCGGCGGTAACCATAGCGCCCGACCCCCAATACACTGGTTGTGCGGACCCCGGAAGGGGGTGGTGGGGAATAAACTCAGAGTCCAGGTAATTCTCAGAACGCCTCCCGGGGAAGCGCCAAGGACACCCCGCGAATCCTTTCCTTACGTAACCCACGCATCTGCTGGAGTATACATGACCCTGAATTTAGTCCTGCAGGAGACTGCAGGAAAGGCTCCGGGTGCATTTAAGTCTGCAGGACCTGGCAGCCTTGGAGGGCGACATCTGTCCCCCTCGCCCCTCCGCACGCAAGCCCTGGACCCAGCGGCCAGCCCTGCGCCCTCCTCTCTGCCCGGTGGCCTGGCGCTCGCTGCGCCCCAGTCGCGGAGCCGCCTGGGTCCGCAGCCCCCCCTTACCCGCGTACCCGGCGAACACCTGTCCACCGTTACCTGCGGGGTCGCAGTTTTCCGCAGCCCATTGGCCAGGCCCCCGCCGCCCTTGCTCTCGGCCGCCTGGAGATGCCCGACCTCAGGGGCAGCGCCCGACTCCGGGGCCGGGAAGAGCCCGCAGCGGCGCTGGAAGCGGGCCACGAGCTGCGAGTCCTGCAGGCTCCGCAGCAGCGCGGCCATGGCGAGCCGGCGGGTGCTGCGCCCGAGCGGGGCCCGCAGAGATCCGCGGTCTCTGCGCCCGCGCTCGCCTCCTACACCGGCCGGGGCGGGGCGGGCGCCGGCCAACAGGTGGCAGCGCGGGTCCTAGAGCCCGCCCTCGGCGCGCCAGGCCAGGTGCCCGCCTCCACCTTGCGCAAAGCCAGTCCCCCGCACCCCCCCCCGCACCCCGCCTTCCCAGCCCCGCTTCTCTGAGCCGGCTCACGACTCCGCGCTGGCGGAGGGAGCCGAGTTCTGGTGCACCTGCCCGGGGCACCGATCCGAGCGCCTCCGACCCCACAGGAATCTCACCTCCATCTCCTGTGCCCAGGGGGAGCTGGACCCCTCCCCGCAGCTCCCTACCCCACTTTTGCCCGCTTCCTGCAACACTAGCTCCCGTGATCCCCTAAGTTCTTTCCAAACTCTGCCTGGTGCAGCGTTGCCTCGGAGTCTGGACACCCTCGGTCTTGCTCAAGAACCAAGAAGTTCACAGTGGGCCCAATGGGACGCGGAGACAGGGCGCACTTTTAGGAGGTGGGGAAGAAACTTGCTCTCTTCTCGGTTGTCTGCGTTGCGGGCGAAGACCCTAGCCTCACTCTCCTACTTCTTGCTTTGACTGTGCCTCTGTATGAGAAACCCTGGGAGAACGGAACCAGATCGCTCGCTGTGGGACTTTAGACCTAAGGAGGACGGCGAGGAGGAGCCTTCGTCTCACCATGACACCTGCCACCTGCCCAGCATGAGACACCAGCACCAGCACCGGGCGCCTGCTCTGATTTGGACTTGATCGTCCCTCACCCGCGCCAAACCTGCCTCGAGGGTTTCTGAGATCCAGAAGGAAGACCCGTGCACCTCCTCACACAGTGAGGGGCAACAAATGAGGACTGGGGGTTCAGCCTGCAGCAGCCCAGTCCTGTCTTCGGTTTGCAGCGGAAGGCTGCGAATTTCCTGGCTGCCCATGGAAAGCCTAAGTATTGTTTGCGCAAGCGCCAGAGGGTACTGCGGCCTCCGCCTTACTTGTCCAGGTGTCCTCGCTGGTCTGGAAGTCTTTGAGATGTAACTTCTAGGACTGTTTGGTCTTCCTCGAGCCCTGGTTTTCACTTGCTTGGTCCCTTCTCATTGGAAGGTCAAGGTGGCTTAGAGACCGATGAAATTCTTGGGAAACACGGATTCCTCTTAGCAGAAGCAGCACAGTGCTGCTGTCACACCCCTAAATGTGTCACAGCTCCGCTGTGTCACACCCAGAGATGTCTGTTCCAGGACACGGCAGCCTGGCTTACCCTGCTGCTTGCTATTGTAGATAGGCATTGGAACCACTCCCTGAGGATTATTTAGTCTTAAAAGACAGGGTGGCAGTCATTTAGAACTTGTTTCATTTGTGATCTAAGGAATGACGTTCACCTGTGAAGGCGATTTCCAGCACATGTCTGCTACATGTAGTGCTTCAAGTTTTTCTTTCTCCCAATTAAGAAAAAGGGCAAAGTCAAGGCGTGGCACATTTAATATAAGACTTAAAAAAAAGAGAGAGAGAGACTCAGTCAGCACCTTGATCTGACAATTAGCTTCCAGTGATTTATGATGTGAGTCATGCCATGAAGTGTGCTCATTTCCTTCTGTGATGAAACGATGATCCTCACTTCTTGTCTTTCTGATAAGGCTGACATGAAACTCTCCAGAGACGCCCCTGGTGTGACTGTCGTGGCCGTATGCACAGCACTGGAGCCATTCCGTGTGGGGAGGATTCCTCAGGAGAATTCGGCTCTCACTAGCTCCAGAGAGAAGCCGAGGATGGGGGGGGGGGTGACAGTTACCCTCTGAGGCACCCTTTGAGGGCTGGAGTTCTGAGCACAAGTTTCCCAACCAATCTCACAAAAGTCAACACCTTTGAGAAGTCCCAGGAAAGATTGCTGGGTGGTATAGAGATGTTAAATAGGAGTCACCAATTGTCTGGGGTTATGAGCAGTTGCTGTACCAGAGAAATAGCATGTAATTCCTTGGCAGTTGAATACTGACCTCGGATGGGAGAATTATACTTGAAAATTGTCCTTATTTCAGGGCAGAAATGCACTTTTTTTTGTATTTTGTGCATATACTACATTTATTCAATGGCATAGTTTTAAGCTTTAAATCACATTAATGTGTTATTGTAATTGTTTTATATTGATTATTGTTGCTAATTTCTTACTTACACATTAAATGTTATTGTGGGTGTGTAGAGGAGAAAGCTCAGCACGTACAGGGATGGGTACTGGAGTCAAGACTGGTATCCCCCAGGGCAAGTGGGGACAACCGTGATTGTACCTAGACTGAAATATCCTCCATTGTGGCCCGCATCCCTCCCTTATGGCTTTGTATCTTTCTCTTGGGCCTTGGGAGGAGAGATGGTGTTGCAGAGGTACCTTGATTCCTGCTTGCTGCACACCAGCAGCTGCTCTGAGGCTGCCCCGAATGACTCAGTTCCCAAAACAGCCCTGGGAAACCAGGACCACTCTTTCTATTCTATGTAGAAGGAAGCTGAGTCTCACAGAGACTGAGCTGCTGTCCAGAGCTCGTGGGGCAGAGTCCTGGACTCAGCTGTGATCCCAGACTGGCTGACTCAAAAGCAAGATTGGGAAGAGATAGTTCGATGAGGCATGCTCCTCTAGGGGTTGTAAGAGAATTTCTCCTTCCATGTAGAGCAACAGTGAGGTTTTTTTCTATTTTTTCTTACTAGTATATGTAATAGAAACACTCATTTTAGAGATTTTAGAGGAGGCAATGATGGATGTGTTAGGGTTAATGAAGGTTACATTGCTGCAGCAAAAGACCTCATAGTAAAGTAGCTTAAAATGATGCATATTCATATCTTTCATGCAGCAGTTGAAGCGAGCAATTAAGGTTGGCAGAAAGCTCTGTCCACAATGCTGCTCATGGATTGGGTTCTTTTTCTGCCGTGCCCTGGAACCAACACAAGTCATTGTCTTGTCTGGCACAGTTGAAACTGGATTAGAACTCCTGGATTAGGAGAAGACAGTGAGTATCATAAGCAGCAAGTTCATGACAAGCAAGTGAAGGTCAAGTTTCCCTATCACTCGAACTGGCTGCTTTCAGTGTTGTGGGGAAGGCTTGGAAATGTCACCTCTGTTCAGCTTCAACTGTATCACCATATTTGAAAATAAGATTTTTCCCATTTTCTGTAAAGAGGCCATACTGACTCCATTTTGTCCTGAATACATCCAGTTGACAGGTTTTGGTAGCAAATGTAGGCCTTGAAACATCCTCCCCCCCTCTCCCCACCAACGTAAAAACATGAGGTCCCATAAGGACAAGAAGTGAACAAGTTATATAATCTAAGCATGCACAGTATGAGTTTCTTTGTTCTTTATTTCAATAAAATCTGGCCTGGCAGCAGCCATTCTGCAGACCCTTGATGTGTGCATCCCTTTGCTTGCAGAACCCCTATATCTGGCACTCGAACTGGGACTCAACAGCAGAATCATCTGTTGTGGAGGGTGACTTGCTTTTGCTGTGTTCTAAGGGTGGAACACGGTCTCCAAAGTGTTGGCTTCATTTTCTTCGGAAAATCCCCATGTAAGTCAAGGGGGAATTCCTTGTCCGAAGTGCAACAGAAATATAAGGTAGAACTGCTTTTCCTCCTTAAGAAGGCAGGCCATGTGCTCCATGAGCATAATTTAGTACAGTTTTTGAAAGAAATTCATGATTATTATCCTTGGTATCCTGAGGGAGAACGCTCATTATGGAGGTTTGGGGAAAGATAGGCAAATTGCTAGATGAGGAGCCTCAAGCTCCTATCTCTGTCTTGCATACCTGGCATCATTACTGGGATGCTGTTGCAACCATTGGCAGGTCAACAAATGGAGCACCGCATGGCAGACTTTCAGGTCCTCCTGGGTGTGCTGTTCATGCTATCTTTACCTTAATTGGGCAAGGCCCTATTTTTTTGACCACTCAACAGTTAGCTCCTCTATTCAGTGCTTAATGGGGTCATACAGATCCAGCTGATGTGATCTCTGACTCTCTTTATTTACAGCAGGCCCTTCAGAGCATTGCTCACACACTCACCACAGTTATGGTGGCTCGAGTCCCAAAGGACTGCCCTCTCTTCTTGCTCATTTTTCATTCAGCCCTTTTGCCCACAGGGGAATCTTGTTGTCATCCAGAACAAGATATTTATTGTCGAATGGCTACATTTACCCTACTTGCCTGGCAATACTTTATTTCCCATTATCAATGCTATTTCTTCTCTTATCTCTTGAGGACATGCCTGCACAGCTACACTCCTTGGAATGGATCTCACTGATAGTTTTACCACTTATTGAGGTTGACTTCTTTTTGCTGTCTCCTACTGTTTCTCTTCAAGTCTCTTTGGCTATATTGGTTCCATTTCTTTCAAAACACCCCCAGACCGAGGCTGGCAGGGACTGGTACCCCTGCTGATCTGGGGAAGAAAGTATGCTTCTGTATTATCCCCAACAGGACCTGTGTGGATTCCTGCTCATTTCATTCACCCTGCATGAACTGAGTTGGCATCTTGGGCTGCCAATTTTACAGTTTCGCCTTTCCCTGAATCAAACCTAGCCACCTCAGTAGTGATCCAGGATGACTACTTGTCCAGTGACCTGGGGTGATATAAAGGTGATTCAGTCTATACCAGATTTGCTCCATATATCTGAAGAAGAATCAACTCCTGAAAGCCTCTTGGGGTGGTATTTACCAAGTTGACAATGAATTCTTTAATATTTGTTTGTATTCTGTTGCTATGTGTTTTGCAGCCCACCATGGGGACCTTAGAGTTCCATGACCTACAGGAAAAATTGGAATACAATATTGCAGTTCAGGCACAGAAATTGATCTCCATCCAACCATGGAACTTTAGCACATCACTTGGAACATGGTAGGGGCCCACTCAGCATACTCAATCCTGGAAGACCTTTAGGTAGGTCCCTCTGGGCCTAGTTAGGCCCTGCTTAGTGACCCTTACTGGCCAGGGAACCACCTGTGCTCCATGTCATGAATAGAAAGCCTGCACAGCAAACTCCATCCAGCTGTGCAACCTCAGCATGTCACTCGGAGCCTGGTTG